CTAGCATCTTAGTGTGAAAGGAATTGGAACTCGTGCAGCAGACGTTATTAAAAACTATTCTGGAACAGAATACAAAGTCGGTAGCATAATTCAATTACTGTGTACGTATTTATAAATTCAAATCAAATATAAATCTTATGATTTTAATGTTTAATTTGAATTTAAAATTTTAATATTGGCATTTTTTTCCAGATCCTTGTACAGGAAATTCTGTAGATTGGGCATATGCAGAGTTAGGTGTAAAGCATTCATTTGTTATAGAATTGAGAGACAAAGGAAGGGAAAAATTTGAATTAGATCCGAGACATATAATTCCAGTGGGTGAAGAAACTTGGAGTGGAATGCGTTCAATTATTGCTGATATTTCGCAATAAAAGTCTCCATAAATAACACAAGTTAACTAATTATAATGTAATGAATTTTATTTTTTTTTCTGTTGTCTCAATATTTTAATTTATTGATACAATTAATTACTTAAGCTGCCCATTCATCTCGTTGCTTTACGTTAGTTATATTCTATATTCTGAAATGGAATAAAAATAAAGGCTTTAATTTTACGATTCTTTCTACTGCCGCGTATTATTTTAAACGTATCTTTTGATTTAAGCCTCTTAAGGAAAAGCTAAACTCAACGTTGAAAACTTTATAACGTAACTTCCGTTATAAATTTGCAGATCAGTAAAGAACACTTTGAACTTTTTCCATTTCATTCTAATAGATCAAAGTTGACTCAAATTATTTTAAAATTCGATTTATCTCTTAAGCAGTTAGTGTTTATATTCGAGACCGGATGTCGCCACTTGTTTATTAATACATTGTTTAACGAGCTAGAATATACTACATAGTGTCTTCAGCGACGCCACGTTTAAAGAAAATTGAATACACGTTCGCCATTTTCTTTTTAGTCAAGGGGCGTGCCATTTGTGTTGCGTAAAGGCAACTAGCAAGGTTATTCTAGCTCGTTGTGTAAAAGTGTGCAAATCAAAGGAAGAGTTTTAATCCTTAACTGAGATGGTGCGAATCAAAATGATCCTACTTAGTTTTTTTTTAATTTTGAAAGTAACTTACAAGACATTTCTTTCTTTAATTAATTAATGATCCTCTTGTAAAAGGACAAATTAATGCTTATATTAAAACATCCGAAATGCAACGATAACGTTTGCACATTTACAAATTTTCTTTGGAGTTTAAATTAAGGCATTTAAATTCTTAGTGTAAGTGTATAAAAACATTTTAATGTACTGTACAATACAGAACGTATAGTATTTTTCTACTGAGAATTATGTAATACTTTGGCAATAAAATTTATCGGTATTAATTGTTTTATTACTTTTCAGTCTGTTAATTACTTCGCAAACATGAAAAAATCGCATTTCATTTATATTTTGATTAAAAAAAAACGTAAATTTTTTCGAAAATTTATAAATTAAACTTTGTAATGTTTCCGTTTCTTAAGTGATATTGATGAAAAATTATTAAATTCATAACAACATGATTAAACAGAATAATTCATCACTGATAAAAAATATTGGAAATAATTCCGTAATGTGAATTTTTTTTGCCATTTAAAAATTTATTATTTGTTTTTGTTTAACATCACTCGTGAATAAGGTCAGTTAAATCTCTCTCTCTCTCTCTCTATCTCTTTCTGTGTGTNTATAAGAACTTATAGTGTAAACGGAAAGTCACGTTATTTGCCAGTATCGAAAGAGTGTTTCCTAAAATAACATATTTTTCTAAACGACAAATCGACCAATCGTATAACAGGACAAAGATTTCAGGTCCAAAAATAATTCAAAAATAATAAAAACAATTATTATATACAGTACATTTTATAAAAAGTTTAAAACTCTCATTCTTGTATTTAACTAAGGTGCGTTTGAAATTTATACGGACACGAAAAAATTAAACTGAAACCCAAATTTGCTGCATTAAGTGACAAATGTTTTATTAAAAATAACATGGATTTACATGTTTCCACACTGAAAAATAAGAATTTTTATCAAGCATTAACTTTTTGTCACTGAAAATAATATTTTTGAAAATGTACAAAGAAACTGTTACATATCTGGACAGGCACTCATTTCATGACTTAAATAAAATATTGTTTAGTTTCAAGCATTGAAATATGCAAATTAGCTTACATATCTAATTGTAATACAAATTCTTTATGTTGTTCAAATTTCTAAAATGGGTAGAATAAAAAATTTATCTGATTATCTAAAAGGTCAGATTGATGCCTATAAATCACAAGGCAAATCAATAAGAGAAATTGCAGCATATATAAATCGTCCAAAATCAACTGTTGGTGATTATTTATCAAAAAGACATGGCAAAGATGTACCAAAATTCAAGACAGGTCCAAAACCCAAGCTTACACCTCGAGATTGTAGACAAATCATCAAGGTTTGCTCCACAAAACAGACATCAGTAGGAAAAATAAAACAAGAATTAGACATGCCTTGTAGCAGCACAACAGTGTGAAGAGTTTTAAATAAATCTCCAATGTTAAAATTCAGAAAAAAATGTAATGCCATCACTTTCATTAAAGCACAAAAGTGAGAGACTTGATTAGGCACATAAACACATGACATGGTCCAAAGAATGGATTGAAGTTTTGTTCAGTGATGGAAAAAAATTCAACTTAGATGATCCAGACGGTTGGAAGTATTATTGGCACGATTTAAGAACCGAAAAACAAATATTTTCAAAATGCCAAATTGGTGGGGGTCAATAATGGTGTGGGGTGCATTTGGATTCAATGGAACCACAGATTTAGCATTTATAACACAAAGAATGAATTCAGAGAAGTATCAAGGCATGCTTGAAGATCATTTATTGGAAGCTGGACCAAATATTTGTGGACCAAATTGGATCTTTTAACAAGACAATGCCCCTGTGCATGCTTCTAAATGAAGAAAAATGTGGTTTAAATGTAAAAATATTAATCTGATGACATGGCCTGCTAGAAGCCCTGTCCTGAATCCGATGGAAAATCTTTGTTGGATGAATGTTCGTACAGTTTATGCCAATGGAAAGCAATTTTCCACAATTCATGATTTGAAGGCATCAATTTCAGATACTTGGGATAAACTTAAGATTCAATTCTTTCAGAATCTAATTGAAACAATGCCTAATCGAGTATTTAACGTAATTAAGTTAAATGCTTGTTACATTGGCCATTAAATTGTAAGAAAACTTTGCAATTTGAAACCTGTCCAGATAAATATGTAACAGTTTTCTGTACAAAATTTTCAAAAATATTATTTTTAGTGACAAAATGATAATGTTTGATTAAAATTCTTATTTTGCAGTGTGGTAACATGTAAATCCGTGTTATTTTTAATAAAACATTTGTCACTTAATGTAGCAAATTTGGGTTTCAGTTTAATTTTTTCGTGTCCGTATAAATTTGAAACGCACCTTATTTGCAAAATAATTTGCAAATCAAAGTTCTGGTATCCATTTGACAATATACAAATTCTGAATACACAATATCCACTTTTCGATTAGAAGCGTAATATAAACACGCTACTAATAAAGTGTTATAACATTAGCCAACAATGTCATAACCATCAAAAGATATAAAAAATTGAAAGGTTGCTGACACTGCATAAAGTATGAAGAAATTACTGATATTGGTGGTGGCAAGTTAGCAAATATGTCATTTATGTCAACTAAATATTTCTTTTAAATTTGTGTTTGTAAATTGAGAATAAATTCTTCTCGAGGTATGTTGCAAGTTTCTCATCTTTATTCTATATTCCTCAGGAAATACTTTGGAAAATGGCATTTTGAAGTTTAAGTTTTCCAAGTGGACAGTAATAATGTAAATTTACCTCTTGAAGTTTGTATATCTTTTCAAAATTACAATGCTTATGTAAATAAACTTGTTGCAACAAACAAAATCAGTTCCATCAGTGAACACATTTCCACATGTTTGGTTGTGAAAACAGAGTGCAGTTTTTGTAACGTGAATAATCGTGATAAAATTTGCGATTTGACAACAACGTAACAGGGAACTACATGCACCCAATACATACATTTCTTCATGGCTTAGCATGGTTTTGTAGAATTCCAACTGAAACTAAGAATGTTACAAGAACCCTGAAATTGGTTTATCGCTTCCTATGTCCATACGATAGCCCATCTTTTTGAATTGCATATTGTAGATTCAGTATATGTGTGCCATTTACCAATAAACTCGGGAAGTGTCATGACGAAATACACGTCACGAGAAATTTAAATTGTTTGTTTGTGAAGATTGTTCCACACGTAGAACAATCTTCCTTACATTATGTATCATTAAATAAATGTAATTAAATCACGCGTATTATTCAAATGAAATTAGGTAAAAATTAAACGAAACCTTAATAAAATATTTTCTGTGCAGTGATTTTAAAAACAGTGAGAATGTAATAACAGAATACAATTATGAAATACCTTGTAAAAGTGACATAATTGAAACGATTAAGTGATTATATAAGTTATATTTAATATTGCCAGGTAGAAATAAATTCTAAAATACATACTTATTAATGTTTAGATAATTTTCAATTGTAAAACTAATGGTTTCTTGTAATTTTTTAAACAGTTTTCTCCTGTATTTTAATGTTAAAGCGTACTAAAAATGTGAATAAGCCATTTTAAAATCTTTCGACTGAACTCATCATTAACGAATAAATACTTTCATTATCTACATCCTAAAACTTTGGCCATCTTACAAGTTAGTACCTAACGGATGATGAGATAGTCCTGATTATTATTATATTCATTAATTAATAACAAGCAAGTATTAAAAAGAAATATTGTTATTTTTAAATATACGTAGGCGTTTTTTTTTCAACCTCAGATGATCCATAAAACACAGACAAGTGTAAATAACAAAATGAGTTTATTAACAAACGTTAGGTACAAAATGGTTACTTTTCGACATAATCACCTTGAAGATTGAGGCATTTGTCATATTTGTGGACAAGCTTTGCAATTCCCTCTTCATAAAATGTTGCCGCCAATGACTTGAAATGGGCCTTAACGTTGTTTTGAAGATCGTCATTAGTCTCGAACCTCTACCCTCCTAGCCATGTTTTCAGTTTAGGAAAGAGGAAGAAGTCGCTCGCCGCTAAATCGGGGCTATACGCTGGAAGGGTGGTGAAGACTTCCGCTTTTCAGACTTCTACCCAGTTTAAAACTTTTTAATGTGTGAAAACTTCCACCTCTTTCCTGAACTGAAAACGTGGCTAGCAGGGCAGAAGTTTGAGACTAATGAAGTAATGATGATCTTTAAAACAAAGTTGTTTAAGCCATCTTAATTTACTTGCAGCAACATTCTGTGACAAGAGGATGGAAAAGCTCGTCCACAGATATGTCAAATGCCTCAATCTTCACGGTGATTATGTCGAAAAGTAACCATGTTTGTACCTAACTTTTGGTAATAAACTCATTTTGTTATTTACACTTGTCTTTGTTTTATGGATTATCGGAGGTTGAAAAAACCGCTCTCGTATAAACAAAAAAAATGTTCTATTATTCTTAATCATCATTATAAAGATCACTCAATATTTTCACAATCACTAAACATAACAGAATAAAAGGTATGTCACCGTGATTATAATAAAAATAAATATAAATTTAGTTACAGTTAAATATTAACCTATATTTTACGTTTGATAATGGAAAATAAGATAATTTTCTTTATAGTACTCTTTGCTTCTTTCGTTTTTGCGATTAGTTACGAAAATACTGATGATGATGATGATGATGATATCGATATTCCCCCAAAAAGATATGACAAGTAGGTATATAATTAATCTGCTTTTT